AGAATTATTTGCATGCATAGAGAAAACAGGGGAGAGGTGGGAAAGAGCTTTTACTTTCGTGGATATTGGGTTAAATGTATTTTGGTGACTGCCAGATGCTAATTTTTTATGGTTGTTGTTATTATTATCTTGACAGAATCCAAGAAGAAGAAAAAGGAAGGCAAGAAACAAGAGAAGATGCTGGATTAATAGAGCCAACTTGGGCAGTGTGAGAAAGGGACATCAGCAAACAGAATCAGTTAACAGTTTCATTTATACCTAGGCATTTTATCCTAAAATTATTTATAGCTTAATGGTACAATAGAAGGAAACAAGCAAACACATGCAAAAAAATCTTTTTTTATTACTTTTGTGTTTTTTAATGTATAACCCTAACAACAATTTTTAGAGGCCTGCAATAAAGGACTCCAAACTCATTTAGAAAATTATGTCAATTGTATATTGAACAATGTAGAAGTTTTGAAAGTACTTTTTTCTCAAATGTTGCTGTAGGTCTCAGTCTTGTAATTACTCCATGCAAGCAGAACCTGAACCTGTGTAGAGCCTAGCTGAAGCCAGTGGTGCCCTGTGTGGACTAGGAGTCTGTCTTGATGCAGTTATGTTTAAGATTGGAACCTTTTGTCTGAAAAAAAGCCAGCTTTTGCTTCTTAAGTTCTTACTACATGTATGTAATCATTTGTTTAAGGAAAGGATGGGGGGCATTTCATTGAGTATTTGCAGGCAAAAGAATTTTTTTGTATGCATTGTGAATGTTCATTCCGAAATGCCACCATTTCTGGTGCACTGCTTCTATTCTTGGCCATATTTTTACTGTGTGCAGTAAAAATTCTTAAATACTTTCTTTCAATGGCTGGATATAGCAGAGCCCTGAATTTTCATGATTGTGAAAAGATTGTTTTTTCAAAGTGGAATGATAGCAATATTCTCCGTTTTTTACCATATCAGCACTGGTGGATGGTAGAGTCTTCTGTTTTTTCTGCAAAAGCAGAAAAATGCTTTCTTTTATTTGTTTATTTTACCAGCAGGGAGAATACCCTTTTCACATAAATCTAGTTGAAAGGGTTGTGATTCTACCTGACCCAACTCCCTTTTATACCAGCAGGAA